TGAACGAGATTCATTGTGAATTCATGGCCGCCGCGCTGCTGCTGCTGCTGCTGCTTTATGCCTCTTCAAACATTAACGCCCGGAGAGTATCCAGGAATTGTGTCCTTGTGTATTGCACAAATTGAAAATACACGTACATGTATGCAACAATGTCTGATATACACGCACACGCACGCATACGCATGCAGTGCGAGGTAGAGAGAGAAATTTGCGCGCACAATTTTTAGACGTACAAAAGCGATTCGTCATTGAGTGCGCGAAAAATAAAACATCCTACGAGCGAAGAGAGAGTCTGCACATGTGCATGCATGTGTGCACGAGTGTGTGTAGGTGACATGCAAGAGGGAGCTCGCCGACGAGCCGACGCCCTGTGTGCATGCGATGATATTGATGATACTAACTAAAAGTCATCGAACCTGCTACTGCTGCTGCGCTCTACGTAGCACTGGCGAAAATCCTCCCTTTTTCCGCCAAAAATACAGTCATCGAACCAGTGCCGCCGGTGGGGATTTTTTGCCGTGCGCTTTCTCTGGCGTGTACACGCGAAAAGCCAAAAAGCCAAAGTCATGAATATTCAAACGTTTCAAAGTCATCGCGTCTAGCATCGCAAAAAGTGCGCTAGCATGAAAATCATCGACACAAAAAAAAGGTGCTAGCAGCTCGATACTTGCAGCGGGCGCATGTATGTATCGTAGCACCTGCTGAAAAATCATCGTCGAAAAAAAAGTGATACCGAAGCGCAGTCGAAAAACATCCAATAGGCCTCGACAAAGAGAGCGAGATATTCTGCGGGTCTTTCATCTCTCGTGCATTGCGCCCCTAGGCCTGCGCTATACACGCAGCACACGGTACGTATAGCAGCAGCGGCGGCAACGAACATGCGAAAGGGGTGGTTTGCGAAAGGCTCGTATATACTAAAACACAAGCGCGCCTGGCGAGTGTGCGCGCGCGGTTTAATGATTTTGCACACATGCATAGACGCGTTGGCTCTCTCTCTCTCTCTCTCTCTCTCTCTGTCTCTCGCTCACACACACACACGCACACAAGGCCGGAATTTCGATGACGCTACCAGCCAGCAGCAGCAGGATCCCTCCCTCTTTCTGATGACGCTTTCCTCTCTCGCTCTGGCTCTTCTGTATAGTAGCAGTAACACACATTTAAATGAGTTTACACGTACGCGCGCCACGCGTAAATTTTACAGGCCCGTCCGGTTTCTGGCCTATGTTGAGAGTGAGAGAGAGAGAGGACGAAATGTATTATACATGGGATTGCAGGGGACATTAATTTTCTGCCCTCGACGTGCGCAACCTAAAGCTACGTATATGCATACACACACATACGTACACTGACGCTCGAGTGTACATGCGCGAACGTATACGTATGTATAATACGCGTTCTTCATCTGGCTTCGCCAAAGGAAAACTCGAGTGGGCGCAGGCATATTTTTCTGACGTCGATTATAATCGCTGAAAAGGGAATTATGCATCGATTTCTCGTCTCGCTGTCGACCGGGGGTGAAAAAAAAATTATTCTCTCAAACTTGGAGCAAAAACTAATGAAACGTGTTTAAAAAGAGAAAAGAAAAGTATTCTTAAACTGTATATATGTAGAGAACGAGATAGATAAGAGTCGGTGTAAGAGAAAAGGATTGTGTACAAGGAAGGGGTGCAACGAGATTCATCAAAATGCTCTTATAGCATATATCTATAGGCAGACGTAGAACTCTCTAACGCGCGCCAGCTTACAAAAAAAGGGGTCGTCGCGCGTTTAATATCAGCTTCTGCTGCTCTGAATCTTCTTTCTTCTTCTTTTCATTCTTAACCCGGATGGCATGCGCAACATTTTAAATTTAATAATTCGTTCGCTCGTGTCCGTGCCCAGCGGCCATGTACTACTGAGCCTGAGCGAAGCCAATTATTATTGTTTTGATTGGCGCTGTTGCTGCTTCTGCTATAGTAGTATACTGCACGCACACGGGGATGGATTGTAGAATTTATTCAATTTATCGTTTGGCTTTGCTTCGTTTCACCTTCTTCGTTTTTTTCTCCACTGCGCCTTCGTTCATCGATTAAAGCAATATCCGCGGCTTTTTTCCTTCCAGTATACATAGGCAGTCACGAGGGATGAGAGATAACGATGAATCGCTCGGCTCGCATTAATGTACTACTCCGTTTGATCTGCATATTCTCCTTTGAAGCAGGTCAGCCGAGTGATCGATGTTATTTCTTCGTCTTTTTTATTTCGTAAACACTCGAGACGCGACCTACATTCCCCCTGCATAGTAGCGAAAAAGTAAATTTTATTTACTCGCATACCCTCCTGCACTCGGGCTGCACGGAATAAATAATTTTTGGCGCTAATAGTTATGCGCCGTATCATCAGCGGAATTTCTTTCGCACGTACTGCATGTAATATAGGTGGGCAATTTCTAATCCACAACTACACTTTGAGCCACGCAAAGCCACAAGCAAAGAATCACTTAAAAAGCGTACAAATCGACCACCGTATGCGCGCCATCTCACCGCAAAACACACCGTGCAACACATACAGATTATATGTATACGCCGCGAATATGTGTTGTGTTGCACTGGTCGCGTGCCAATAATGCCGGCAACTCGGCGGCACACGGCGCGAGCGTTTCCGCCTCCCGCGCGAGCGCCTGTTCTCCGCGCAGATATTCACCTCTGGAAGAATACACAGAAGTAAGACAGAGAAGAAGCGTGTATTAAGCACGTTGGTATTGCTCAAACTTTAAGTGGAGTCAATCGAACGAAACTTCTGCGCTTCTGGCCCGGCTGAATACACGTGCTCTCCTCGTCGAGCGGCTGTATTTATCGGGGGCAAGCTTTTACACGGTCAAAATTGCCACCTACACTATGATTTTCGCTTCATTTCCAAACTTTTGCGAGCTCGAACAAACTTTCTCGATCGAATTAATTTTTATCAAAGTGCCGAGTGATAAACATTCGCACATGCAGACAGACGCGTAAAAGTGTAGAGGGGAAAAGCCGTAATTCCTGAGAAACGACGCGAGCCATCAATAATCCACTGTACTTGCAGCTACATGCTTATCTAAGCTCAGTGCATGATATGGTGTATTATACGCAAGCATAATAAGTCGGAAAAAGGGAAGAAGGGAATATAAAGTAGGCAGTGCTTGGTATGCGCGAGTGTGTGTGTGTGTATGTGTGTGTGCATGTGCTGCGTGTTGTGTTGTGTACATGTGCGCCGCGCGCGTACTAGCCTCGCGATAAGAAACGTCTATCCTCCTCCTCTTCCTCCTCTTGGCTGTGCGCGCGTACAGTATACAGCACAGCAAGTATAATAAAAGAAGCCACCCAATACACCATAATATTTTCTATCCACTGCTCCACCCACTGCATAACGTATTAATAATGCGATTTTAATTGCGCCTATATGTGCGCCAAGCGGTTCCATGCGAGCGCGATATGGAAAAATATTGGACATAAGCGATGGTACTGCACTGGGCGCGCGAGGGGTAGGTTAAAAAGACGGCTAAATAAGTAATTGGTCTTCTTTCTCTCTCTTTCTCTCTCTTTCTCTTTCGCGCTCGAATGCCATTGTTAGCCTACGTATAGTATATAGTATATACAAGCTCAAGGGCCGTATTGTGGGGTCTTCGACACATATTGACCTTTCGCGGGTGGTACGCGCGTCCGCGTACACATACTTCTTTCTTCCTATCTCTTCTTTTTCGACGCCCCAAGATCCTATGCGTAAATGATAATGCGTTTACGTACACTATTTCATATACACCCATGTATATCACCACTTGACTTGACTTTGTCGTTGCTTAAAAAGGCTTTTATTGTTGAAAATCTCTGGTTATATTTAGCACCGAGTTTATACCTCTTCTCGAGAATTTTATTTTCAGTTTTCTTCTCCGCTACCGCACATTGCCTTTTTTCGGTTTATTTTGCCTTCCGCTGAGGTCAAAAAACTGGTGGCTTTTACAATATTAAATCGGCGCCATGTACATAATCATAAGCCAAGATTTATTCTCGTAACAAAATAAATCAATAGAGTTCGAGAGTTTTATTCCGTAGTATGAATCGAATAATCTCTATGAAATATTGAAAATAAAGAAAGATTCGAGATTTCCTCGTCACTGCGATAGAAGAAAAGCAGTTATTTAAAAAAAAAAGAAAAATTTTTTTTAGTACTTGAATAAAACATGATATCGACGCGTGCAGAACACAGAAAAAAAGATGTCGATATTAATAAAACTTAAATCAAGCCAATCGCCCGTGCAAATTATGATACAGAAGGAAACGAAGAATAAGACAGAAGGAGAGGGAAGGAGGAAAGGGCCAAGTTACGATGCTCAGCTGGCTGAGTAGCAAAGTTTTCGCCTGTCGTTACTCCTTTGCGATGATGAATGGGATGTAATAGCCGTAGCGCAAATTGAAGGGCCCTCGATGGTCCTTCTTTTTTTCCTCCTTACTCTAATAGGTGTGTTATAAAACACATTCAATATGATTACTTTTTATCTCGATGAAATTCCCACATTTACGAGAGGAAAAAATATCAACGACGTATCGATCGGCCATAACGCGCGCAACCCAAGCGCACACGCATACACGTACGTACGCCAATCATTTCCATTAGAATGCGTTCCGGTGTATACTTAGCGGATATTAGGCTTAGAAGGACGAAGTGCGCATCAATTTCGATATAGCATTGGCATCTCGGGATATGCCGCAGCTGCAGCGGAGCTTGAATTATTTCACGAGCGTTTCAAAATTAATGACAAACCTCTGCTTGCGCGCACCCGCGCGGGTGCGCAGCCGTCTTGATTGTCTCGCGAGAGTTATGACCCGCAGCGAGCGTTTGTTGCTGTGCTCGCTGCACGGCTCCTTCTCAAATTATCCAATCGACTGTGAGCTAGTCCCGATATATATGTGCCTCTCGATCGTGAAAAATATACACGTTTAATAACTGGTGTTCATGTGTGTGTGTTTTTTTTTCTCTAATTACAGGTGAACGGCCGTACAAGTGCCACCTACCCGACTGCGGCCGAGCCTTCATCCAGCTGTCGAATCTACAGCAGCACCTGAGGAATCACGACGCCCAGGTCGAGCGGGCCAAAAATCGTCCGTTTCACTGCAGCATCTGTGGCAAGGGCTTTGCCACGGAGTCCAGTCTTAGGACCCACACGTCGAAGGTCAGTCATGTATGTACCAAATCCGACGTCCATTTATTAGCAAAAAACAGTTTTGTTGATAATGCAAGGCAAAACAAGAAAAACAGTAAAACTACATGTTGGCTCTCAAAAATTACTATCGTATTAACTTCTTGGCTAAATTGGCATTTCAAAAGAACATCTTTCCGTTCATTAAAAAAAAAAAAAAAGATAAAATAATAAAAAATAAATAGAAATAAATAAAAAGCAAGTGACGAGTATAAAATTGGACGATTGTTTGGCAAAGTACGCGATTATTTACGGGCAAAACGTCCTGACTATAAATCGTACGAGTAAACGCGTAGATGCAGACTCGCATTGGCAAAGGCAAATCGTCCAATATTATACGAGCTTACGCATAGCATTTGTAACCCTTCTAAAACGCTGAGTATTTTGCCGAACCACAAAACATAACCACATTGTATAATCTATCGCTCAATCTGTGTGCTATATATATCTGTGTATATCTCTTTATAATAATCACACGGCACGATCTCGACTATATATGTATACATACGAGAGAGATTCAGAGCTCCGTATCTATATATAATGTGTATACATACATTTCCATTAGATGATGCATAAAACATTATTTACATATTGGTCTGCGCGTTGGTGGTGGTGGTGGCGGCGATTCAATGATAAATAACACCGAAAACGCGCCTATTCATAATGTCCAGCTAATATACAATCGAACGGCCAGTTCATCAGGGAGGACCTTGACTACTAAAAATTCGTGTGTACTCTCTCTCTTGACATCGACGCCTCCGACATAAACACCGCAGCAAATATACACAGACAGGCAAACACGCAGCGCGTCTCATTTCGATCTCTTCTGGGTCAAGTTACAATGTGCATTCATAAACTGTGTATAATACATGTAACCCCTTTCCGAGCGAGCTACTAATGCAACAATAAAAAAACTCGTTTTGAATATATCGCCTTGAAGGGATTAGCAGATCAGGGAGGGCGAGCCGTCCGAGCTCCTGCCAAAAATACCTCTAATCAAAATGTACATTCGGCTCTTCTTGAACCCTTTCGCAGGCCGATCGGACAGTTCTCGCTCGGCACATGTCACGGATGCGAACAGATGCGCTGCCGGAACGCTTTTTTTCATTTTTTTTCCTCACTGACGCACACACGCGTTATCAACATCTCTGCGCAATCCGTCTTCGATGAATTTGCCCATCTTGCGCTCGTCTAATTGAAAGCTAATCCTCCGCTAAAATTCCCGTGCAATTTCGCCCCTGCGAGCGCCGCCGATAAATCTACGCTAATCTGTACTCGCGGACAAGGCCGAGCGCGCTTATCGGCTGCGTGCATCGTCGGATTTTTTCCATTCCATTCTCGGAACACGCGGTACGCTCGGCCGAAAAATGCAAAATAATAAAACGGCTCGAGTATTTTCGTGTCATGCCGGTAATTCGCGATTTCTTACGCTTGTTGTTTATACGTTGTCGAGCGCGAACGAGAAAGAGAGAGATAGGTAGAGAGGGATGAGAGAAAGAGAGAGAGAAAAGAGATTGCCGGGGACTCGTTAGCCGGTCCATTTTCGCGAGTTCCGACAGCTTTTAAAATTAGTTTCTTTACGGCTAGGACGACGGGCGGCGACTCTTCCGCATTATACCACAAAAATAAAGTATCGCGTTGCGCTCGAGTGTAATTAAAACAACGCCGCGCTGTTGCTGCTGCTGCTGCTGCTGCTGCTGCAAGGCAATAGGGCTAAATAAAATAGTAGCAGCGAGGCCATGCTATCTCTGGGCTGGACTAATCGAATTGGTCGCGCGCGAGAGAGAGAGAGAGGCCGGCAGATTTCTCGAAATTGTTTCTTCTTCGCTCCAGACGGCTTTAACGTCCTTTGGCGCTTTTCCTCATATAAATAATATTGCTCTTTTTTCTCCGTATAATTTCTCTTCGTTCCGAGTTTGATGTACATCGAATAAAAATCGAGTCGGTGAATCGTTACGTATGCACAAGTAGAGTACACATATCCACCGGGGAAATCGAATATTATAATAGAGAACGATGCCTTGGGCTGTGACGTGCACCGCACCCATACGCTCACATTTAAGTGCTCTCTCTCTCTCTCTTTTTCTCTCTCGGTGATTATCTATCTCTACCTTGTATAGTGGTGATGTACAAACAACGACGTGTACAGCAAAAATAACGTAACCCAATTTTAGACTGGCACAGAGCTAAAAAGTATGCATCGTTTTTTATTTGTCATCGTTTGCATCGCAAAATTAAAAGCCAAAACTTCAGATTTATAGAAAGTGGTACGAGATTTAAATTCAATCCTTTTCGAGCTCTCGACGAGCTGTTTAAGCGGGAAATTTCAACAAATTTTTGCGCTCGTATTGTACGCGTAGCGAGACCCAAGGGACAAAAAAAGACAATTTTTGCAGTAGAGCCGTCTTGGGAACTTTTCTGCGCGCACTATCACCCCAGTTATAATGTTATATATAGCAAAACGACGACGAGCCCAGAAAAAATTCAACCCCCTCTCTTAACCCCTTCATCGTCATCATCACCTCCGTCTTTTTCTCGGCGCGCAGGCAGTCCCGCTGAGGCTTAATTGACCCTGCGCGAGCGGTAAAAACTCGTTAGCCGTTAAGGATTTATCTATATGTATAAATATGTATGTGTATGTTTCGCGAGTGCGCGCAGCATTTAAAAAAGAAAATTTGATCGCGTTCAAGCATTTTCAAATAATAATCAAGACACACTTCGTATATATATTAAATGCCAGCTGACAAGCCGAATACTTGAGGGTATTCGCGTGACGAAAAATTAACACGATAGTGAAGAAAAAATTTTGAATGAAGCCTCCATTTAATTTTCCTATACATTTCTGTTTTTTAAAACCATGTGGACGTTTACGGATTTCGCATACATACAAAAAGTTTGTTTATGAAAAAGACAAACGTTTTTTCATTTTCCAAAATTTTTGTCATCTTCAAAATTTATTAGAAGAGTTTGTTTTTTCATTTTGTTCAGAATCATTGCCAAATGCTACTAGCATCACAATTACTGCCGAATCAAGTTGACATCGGGGTGAGTTTATTACTTTATCTTACAAACTCAAAAATTCACCATTTCGTTTTGTTGATTGAATTATTGATTGATTTTGTTAACGAATTAACTAAAAAAAATATATCTGCATCTGCCTATCTAGTAAGACAAGTTCACTATCGTTTTTTTCTCTCACTCTATTTTTCTCTTATGTTTGCTGTTTTGTTTTTCTGTATTATCTTTAAACACTATCTTTTATTTTAATAATAATATCTTATCACAAAGCATTTTTAATAAAAATACATTAATCCCGCACGGAACATAACCCTCCATTGCGTTTTTTTCCTCTTTCTCTCTATTATTATTTGTTGACTTTTATTTCATTTTGAAGAACCACTAAAAAGCAAAAACCATCATTGTGTGCTGGTACAGACGATGTGAAGTTAACCAAATTTTTTGTAGACGATGCCCAACGCAGACTCGTATGTATTAATCAAATTACCGGCACGGAAAAAAGACGATAAAAAATGTTAAAGCGCATTGCACTCGCCGCAGCGCAATACTCGACATAACGCATTTCTCTCTTTCTTTTTCTCTCTCCCTCGCGTCGCACTATATCACAGTGAGTACCTGAGCAAATTCAAAAAAGATACTATCTTCATTAGCTTTTTGCTCGGCGAATTCTTACGTTTCTTGCGATCGTGAGCAGGTAAGCCAAATCACACTTACTAATGACTTTTATCCGAGTTATTTGTAGGAGTCAAAGCCGTGTTATGCCAAGAAAAAAAAACACAACAAAATGTAATTTAATACTAATAAACTGATCGGACAAATTTTTCTCGACTATACAAAAAATAAAAGAAACATCATCATCAAAGGTGAGTTTAAGCCTCACCGGGTATTATGTTACCGCGTCATCGTTAGCCGCGTTAAAAAAAAAAGATCATCATTGCACAATTGCGGGGTAGTCCCTGTAATACATGCAGGAGACAAAAAAAAGCCGAATGAAATTTTAATCCCCGAAATTAATAAACAAAGCCCGTTGGTGGGATATAAAATGCACCAGAACAAGACGTGTACTATATACACGCTCGCGCCTCACACTAGAATGTCTCATTCGTTTTACGTGGGTTATTTTTTTTTTCGCTCCGCCCCTCGCAGTTTATACTCGGCCCCACTCGCTTTACTGTACTACTATTTTTTTGCTGCGTCCCCCTCGTGTGCGTCGTCGCCGTACACCGTATAGTCTCTCTATTGTGTTATACGTTTAACGTAGTTACCCCACCATATTTTTTGCTGGTGTCATGGCTCGGCACTTTTTGCTCTACGACTCGGGCTCGCGCGTGGACCCACACTTACACGGGCTGCAAGTACACAATATATGTATACGTGTAATATGGACTCGTTTTATTATTATCGCGAATCCTTTATGCGACATTAAGTGCGCGCGTATAGTTCATTAATCGAGGGATTAGCCAAGTCAGCGCGGCTATTTGCGCCTGAATAGTTCGTGCAGAATATGTGTACAAATGCGTGTATATCAGCGACAAAAAATAAAACAACGAGAAACTGCTCGCGCGCACAATCGCTTTATTTGGTAAATATACGTGTGCGATGCATTGGGAGCGAAGAAACAAGTCGGCGATTTTTTGCGACTGCGACGGCGACGACTGTTGTACAGCTAGGCCGAGTGTATCAATTGATGACGCGCGAGAAGCTGGAAGAGAAAGAAAGAGAGAGAGGAGTTAGTAAATCACTGCACTGTACTTATTACGAGGCGTGATGAATTTGTGTTCGACTGAAACTGGTTTCTCTCTCTCTTATTCATAGTCAATGGTAGAATTTAATTAGCATTTCTTTTTGCGACTGTATGCGTAACGGCAATTTTACACACGCGCTCACACTACGCGCTCACACATATGTGCATGCCTGGGGATGATGATAACTCAATCATTCCGCTTAATGAATTAGCCAGAGAGTCGTTTTACGCGGAAAATTGTTTTCTGAAATCACCCAAGGAATCGCAGTATAAATTATCCTATAACGTAAATATATGCTGTTGCTGCAGCGCGATTTATGTAGACGAGAAAAATGCATTTTAAGATCGAGTTGGCGAGGGTCGAGCGCGCGAGTAGTTACTGCCAGTCAAAAACGTAACCGAGCTGTCTAAGATCGTAAAACAAGCCTCGACCGAGAGTGTCAGTAATGACAGAACGGAGAGGAGAAAAAAATTTGAAGAAAAAAAAAACGACGCGGCCCTTGAAGATTCCTTTTATTGGGCTTGGCTCGTGCTTTTCTTGCTGCACTGCCGAGAATTCGTTTTTACAAGAAATATAAATATTAGATAAGCTTTCGATCGCACGCAAAAATGCCGCGAATCGTTTTAGAGCCGCTCTCGAACTATATAAAGACGTAAAAGTTTAATGATTTCATTTGTTGTGTAGATGCATATACCGAGAGAGAGAGAAAGAGAGAGAAAGAAGCTCTGCGGAACACGACGAGCTGCTACTTTCGCTTCCTTAGAATCCATCGATGTGAATATAAAATTTTTACGACCTTTTGGAACGATTTTTTGTCAGCGTGTACTCTTCTTCACTATTAAATATCGCGGCTCGAAATGGCAGCAAACTCATTTTTAAGATACGCAATAATATGAAAGAAAATCACTTCATTAGAGAGGCCAGCGTAGAGGAGAAAAAACGGCGCGCCGAGAGTTCTGTGCTCAAGTTCCCTAATTACAACAATTTTCTTTTCCTCCCGCAGTCGTCGTCGTCGTCGTCGGCACGTTTGCAAGAAAATCATAACAGCGTTGAGAGCTGCGCGCAAGTTAATTGTGATCATGAAAAAATAGCTCCAGTGCAATTTATTCCTTTTTTTTCCTTCTTTTAAACTCAATGAAGCAAAAGTCGAAAATCAAATTGTCTTCCTGGAATATATACGAACAAACTGCAGTAGAGTAAAGCGAGCCGTCACATCAAAAGTCTAATACAAAAGGTCGGCGATACATCTCTCGACCCAGATATTATAAAAACGATAGCTACAGCTGAGCGGGGAAAAAGCTCGATGTTAATTGAAGAAAAACACCAAAAAAGGGCCCAACTAATTGCAACACAATCTATTTTCGCTCACGGGTCTCTGTGAACGCGCGGCGCATCGAACCGCTACTCACATGCGGCGAACATACTACATAGACGTATACTCACAGACACGCACAAAAGCACGTTTGGAAAAGGCAAAAGTAAAACAAGACCAAAGAGAGCTACGCGCGAGTTAATTATAATCGCGAAAAAATCTCTTATCGAACCATTAACTTCTTCTCTTTCTCTATCCTTCTCTCTCTTTCTTCGGAGTGAGAGAGAGAACTAGCCAGATCGCAGTGTGTACATATATACACGGATAGACCGTTAGATACCTCGTGAATGTGTGTATGAATGTGTGCGCGCGCGAAAGCCGGACTAGGCTCTCTCTCTCTCTCTCTTTCGAGTCGGGGCTTTTATAAGTAGGCGTGCATGCGAATTCTCGCGAACGGGATCGAACGCGCGCGCTGACACACACATGCACACACACACACACTCGCAGACGAGCGGCCGAGCTAAATTCAAAGCTTATAGTGCTGCTACATGTACTTAAATGTGTACACGCGCTCGGGGATGTCAATGTTGCGCTGCACCAACGCAGTCCGCATCGCCGAGTATCTTTTTCTCACACTTTCTTTCCTACTACCTAATGCGTATTGTAGACGACGACGACGACGCGTATACATACGCACGAATCGAACGTAAAAAGTCCGCTCGAACTTCCCTGCCTGGCTCGGCTCGCGGAATTATTTACCTATACCCCTCGAGCGAGGCAAAATGGCCACGTGCGATAGACACCTAGGCTGTGCATATACATAATAATAAAATTAATAATAACAATAACTTAACGTTTATATTTATATAAAAGGTACGTCGCGGCGTTGGTCGTTGTCGTGGTAGCGCGTCATGCACCGCTAGGCGCTAGGCTCACACCCACTTCCTTTTTACGCCACTCCCTAGCCGAATGAACGCGAGCGTGTGTGTAAGGACGCTGCGAGCGACGAGCAACTCTCTTTCTAGTTTATGTTGCTGTGTGCGAGCACACCGGCTTTTGTGCGTGTTGCATAGCTATTTTTTTTTGTTGTTGCTGCTGCTGTATTTTTTTTTCTTTTTTTCAATTCGAATGAGAGAGAGAGACAGAAAAATAGGCTTAGTTGTAGTAGTCGTCGTTTTTGCTCGTTAACGGAGCGTAAGCGTCGGTCACGCAACCGATTAACTTTTCGGGCCATCTGTGACGGGGCCTCGCTCTTGATCGCGCGTGCACTCGAGCTTTTTTTTAAAAACCACACGTACTCACACACGAGTCAACGGAAAAAGAAGAAAGACACGTAGAGCTTACAATGAAAATTTCGAATCGAAATCGTCGCGAGCTTATGATTAATTATACATGTAGCTGTAGATGAGTCAATAATCCAATAATATGCTTAATCGGCCAGATGATTGACGTTTCCGTTAAAAGGCAAAAGAAAAGTGCATTAAAACGGTGGCGGTGGAGGATCAGCGGAACGTAAAAAGTCTCGTCCGATCGCGATGTAAATGCAGGCAGTTAATATCTCTACGATATATATTTGCTGATCCGTAATTGAAAATCAGCCAAGCTGAGCGTCAAAGATATAGCGTACATCGTCGCGCGCGCGCGGATTTTAGATCGTCTTTAGAAAGGGTTAAATTCATTACTTTTCATATACATAATATATAATATTGACGAAAATTACATTGTGTGCAATGCACGAGAGGATTTTAAATGGCCGATGAGTAGAGCACGGCAACGACAGCGTTGTGCCGGCCAACGGTATTAAATTCGTTAAGCCTCGAGTATATATTATAGTACAAACTATAAACCGCACGCATTCTCTCATTACTGCAGGCTCGCAGGCCTGCATATATGCATACACGGCCGCATACACATACACGTACACACATACGTACACACATGCACATATGAACTCGAGAGGGAGAGAGAGAGATTCATCCTGCGCGCTCGCCCACGCTCTGTCTCTCTCTTTCTAGCTAGCTCGGCGCGCTGATGGAAAGTATACACACACACACACACATATATACACACGCGAGAGAAAGAAAGACTCGTCCTTAAAGTAGAGAAAGAAGCAAAAAGCAGCTGTAGAGATGCTGTGAGCTGCGCAGAGAGCTAGAGAGAAACAGAGACAGAGCAAAAAAGGGAAGAGAGTTAGCTCGGCAGGAAGAAACCGGTTTTTTCCACTTGGGCCAGGTCGGGGCGTCGAACCTGCCTCTCGGGGTCTAACGTAGCCGAGAATAAACTTGCGCGCATGTAGGGCTCTTACACGTACGCTGCCTCGAGACTGTACGTGTGCTCCTCTTACGCCTCCTCCTCCTCCTCCTCCTCCTCAGTCTCTTTTATGCGCGTGATATTTGCGTTAAACGTCCGTCGCTGCATCGGATCTGCATCGAGATTCGCGTTCCTCGACTTTTCCTTCAAAATTTCATGCTCCTATTTCATCTGACATATCTACAGAGACGTAGGGATACTGATTTGTGGTCGTGGCCCGGCCACAAAGGACGAAAAACATACCGCATTCCTTTGTACGTTTGAAAAATTGCACGCAGACTGCAGTTTCGGGCAAGGTCACTTCGTGGCCTTGAGTCCAGTCGTGCCGAAAAAAAATGCGGCTACGTGTGGTAAGGAGATTCAAAGAAAGAGAGAGAGATGAAAAATCGTATCGCATTTCGGACATACATCTACCCGTAACATGGGTACAATGAAAAGGCAAAATATACAGTCAATAAATTGATTCAAACAACCCTATAACGAAAAAAACGATAGTAATGAAAAATAAAAGGACGTCTGATAACTAAGATGCATACATTTGATGTTTTTGTTTTCATTTAAAATAATGATATAACATAATAACATATTATATCGACGAAGTTAGAAGCGATCATTGAATCGATGCTTTGTACATAAACTATGGGCATGTGATAAATAGAGAGAAAGAGTCCCACATTTCATAATTTTGTTTTGCAGTCCTACACTTGAAGGTCGAACTGAGTCGATCGACTATGTATGTGTCGTGCCATCGCGTGTTTTATTACATCAAAATACCTATTGTGTGTATAAGAGAATATTTTTAAGTGCACATGTACTTGGTACTGTACGCTTGGTGACTTTTAGAGGGTGAAAACTGCGTACATAATACCGAGAGAAAGCACGACGAGAGTCGATCGACTTCCCGACCCTGAACTTTTATTTCACCTTAACCTTTTGCTTTTCCTTCTTTTTTTTTACGCCATGTGCCTGTTCTTTCATCTTCTATTCAGTATATATAACTTGTGCAAGGCATTGTGTACATTTATATGTAATTTAATCAATGGTGGCGGCTAACTTATTTACTAAAACGAAAAAGAGGTGCGTGATGCACGTATACTCATGGTTGGTCTCGTGTTCTTTGTTTTGTTACTGCTGGTCACATTCTCCTTCTTCACCTTCACTTTTGAACGAAAAAAAAAACAAAAAAAAAATCACTGTGCTTGCGCGCAATATCTCTGGTGGTGCTGGGCGGCTTTTTTCGATTGGTGCTGGTCTATTCTCGCTCTCATTGTGTACTCTACTACACACAACCGTCAAAAAAGGAGCTGCAACAGCGTGTCGTGTTCCAGCAACATAATTCACTTATCGGCGGCCCAACGGCCACCAGCTGTCCGGTCTGTCACAAGCTGTGCCTCGGCGGCGAAGCCCTCATGGAACACATGAAGATCACGCACAAGGATCCAAATGCCTCCGGCGTAGCCAGTAAGTACTTAGGCTCAACGATAAGTTCGTACGGTGATATCCTCAAAGTTTTTGCGTATTAACATGCAACGACTTCGACGATGACCCGCATTATCTTAGAAGGTAAACGCCACTTTCTGACATGTCAAAATATCATTAAATCAATTCCAATAACTACCAATTTACTAACAGCGACTAACATTCCCTGTAGACCTGTATTTCATCTTTCACTTTCAAAATTTTTTATTTCTTCTTTTTTTTCTTGGCATTTGAAGACAACGGAAAGTGGTGTACACGAATTAGAATAAGATAGAACAAAATTAAGTCCCAAAATCGCTTTTGGCGCGGGCAAAATATTTTAGCATGTTCTCTCTACTCGAGCTTCAAAATTTGAAATGTTATTAACATTTTATCACTAAAAATTTCATTAATTAACACACAATTTACTGAAGGTATTAGGGTATAATAATAATAATTTAATATAAAGGTGGAAAGGAATGAGTGTAAGGTGTACGAGCGGAACAATTTTAAAATTGAATTGCGCGATGATTTTTAAAAATAATCTACGGAACCAACATAAATTGAAAATTCCACTCAACGGAATAGTGAAGACATATTTAAATTCCTGGCATTTTATATATAGAAATAGCAAATCAAGATAATCATCAATCAAAGTACTGGAATAAATAAATTACAACCGGGCGATTTTCCATCGGTAATATTGTCCCTCAGAAAACTGTCCAAAAATAACTTCGGCAAGTATTAAAATAGGTTTTTTCTCAATTATGAGATTAATTTCAAAGCCATTATCGAGCATCAGCCAAAAATAAGTAGTAAACATAATTAACTTACGACCACGGCACAATAGCCAAAGTGACAATAATTAACTTTTATCGCGACAAATTGCATAAAAATACAAAAATTCAGCGCAATTCAATATTGAATTTGTAAAGTGATTCGAGTGTTCGTGTCGAGAGTATGAGTCCGATTGAATCGTTATTTAGAGGTAATTTTTACATCCATATGTCAGTCGAGAGTGGAGAATCTTTTTCAAGTGCTCTGAAAGCAAAAAAACTCTCGCCTGCACACGTGGATGTGGCATATGACGTAGTGGCTGGATTTGGGTCCTATGTTACACACATACGTAATATGCATACATTATGTATACGCACTCTCGATATACTGGTGGTGCGCGGGGTTATGTGGGGATTATTATTGGTGCTTAAACTGCTTGGCATTGACCTCGACCTATGTGTCGCCCCTGTTGTTCCCACTGCTGACTGCCCGACCTCCGTTGCCGGGGTTTACCTAGCGAAGCGGCGTACGGCCAACCATCCGTGCCCCGTGTGCGGCAAGCACTACGTCAACGAAGGTAGCTTGAGGAAGCATCTCGCCTGCCATCCGGAGACGAGTCAACTCAGCACGAGTCTTAGGATGTGGCCCTGTTCCGTCTGCCAGTCCGTCTTTACCAACGAGAGTGGTTAGTATCGTTAATTAGTCGACTTTAACTATTTAACGTAACTTGTGCTAATCTGGTTTGCTTAATTTTCTTAAAATCAGGTCTATTAACGCATATGGAACACATGAGGATGGACCCGAAACATCAGTTTGCAGCGCAGTACGTACTGAGTCGAGCAGCCGCGGAAAGGCGAGAACGCGAACTTCTAGCTGGATCGAGTCTAGGTATACAAGATTGATGCGTAAAAGCTCGGGCTCTATCATATAGCGTGTGTATTAACGTGACATTTCTATTGCAGAGCGGTATCTATCGTGTTCGGGAGCTGGCCTCGGTGTCCTTGGTGGTCAAATGGGCGGACCTCAGAATCTGCAGCAACCACCCATGTGCCCCTCGCCGTCGGCTCACTCGGACAGCAGTAGCGGCAACGGAAGACTGTCCTCGGCCGGTAGTGAACCTGGTATGGATCTTTTGCAGCATGATCATTGCATTTTGTGACTCGTTGTTGATGACGAAAATGACTAACCTTGCCTTGTGTACTGATAAAGCAGAGTTTCACGCAGGCGCCGGTCTACTGAACAACAACAATAACAATAACAATAACAACAACATGGCATCGCCCGGGCCGAGCGGCAACAAGCTCAGCGAGATGCTGCGCGCCGGCAATCAGCAGACAACGGCGCAACAGTACCACGACGAGATGCAGTCGCAGCAGCAGAGGATGGCTGTCATGGCAGCCGCCGTCTCAGCGGGTAATTGTTTTTTAATTCACTGTTTCGCCCTAATACGCGTCGCAATCTGCCGATTCAATTCTAAGAATCGATATTTCATCGGGGGCGAGCGAGAGTGTGAGTGCGTTACACGAGTGCTGCGTGAATACACGTTTTGAGATAAAATATGAAAAATATGTCAACGGTTATCTGTGCTCGGGCGAAAGAAGCAACTTTAACTTCGATAAATATATATTGCGAGGGAGAGAAAGAGTGAGAGAGGGGAAAGAAGCGCACTTATCGAGGCACAAAAGAAAGAAAGCTCGAGTAGGAAGATCACGCTGTTCTAATTACACCAGCACACGTACACACACTCAGGCAGAGAGAGATACCGACGATTTATTAGAGCCAATCAATCAGCTCTGGCATCGGAGGCTATAACGCAGGCACAAAGAAGCTCAAATGCGCATTGTTTTCTCTATCGCAGGTCTGCAAAACTCGGTGTCGCCGAATCTCTCGCCGGTGGACGTGGCCTCGCTGGCCGCAGCCATGCGCATGGGCAACAACGGCGACATGAGCTCGACCGGTACCGGTCAGGGCCAGGGTGGCGCCAACAACACGACGGGCCAGCAGCAGGGCGTACAGTCGTCGACGGGCAGCGAGCAGGCGCTGAGGCTACAGCAGGCCGAGGCACTTTTGCGCTCGCAAGCCGAGCACGCTCTCAGGCTCGCGGTAAGTAGATACGGCGACGAGTTTTTCATGATCTTTTAACTTTCACGCCGTGAGAGAGAGAGAGAGAGAGAGAGAGAGAGAGAGAGAGAAAGAGAGCTTAATCGTGGGCGGCGGAGCGAGGGTAAAGTAAGTATCGCGGCGCGCGCGTGCGTACGCGGCGTAATTTGGCTAAAGCGTACCCAGCGGGAAAAGGCTGTTTGCCCGCTTAATTAATTGCGCCGTGCCGGCCCTGTGTTTTCTTTATTTTTTGGTCGCGTAGTTAGCTGTGCTTTTCGCAAAGCAGTTGCGCGTTAACACGGTCTTCTAAACTTTTATGCAGTACATTTTACTCGGCGGCCGCTAAGGGGGGCTTGTAAAAACTGTTTTATTAATTCGCGACTCCGTTTAACCGAGATTTTCCTCGCTACAGGTATCACAGGCGGCTGCGGCTGCGGCTAGTTCGGCCAACGACATGAGACATCATTTGGGACAGCACAATGGTGGTGGTACGACTGGAATGTCAGGACATCACAATAACCAACAGCTATCCCAACAGGACACGCTATCTCCAGATTTAGGTAAGATTTGAATAAGTCTATTTCAAGTCGTTCGAGTTGACTTTTAAATTCACCAATACTAATGATCTCTCAACTTGCAGGGGAAGCGTTACGACTGCAAGAGCAACGACTGGAGCATGCCTTGAGGCTTCATGGCGATCCACGTGCCCTGAGCTTCACCCTCCAGCACGTTGTCAACCAACAAAACAATCAGCAACCATGAAAATTCGGATACTACTGAGATGAGTGGACCCCTTGGACGCAGGACAACGCGTCCGTCTCGCTCAACAACTCGATCGACAATCTGCAGGCTGCCACTCAGCAGCAGCAGCAGCAACAGCAACAACAACAGCAACAGCTGCAGCAGCAACAACAGCAGCTTCAGCAGCAGCAGCAGCATCAGATGTCATTGAGCAGCAACGAGCATCAACAGCAGCAGACGGGCGTTAAATTGACGATACCTCAGATCCACGATGATCAGCGTGGCATCAAGAGGAAGGCCGACGAGATAAGCGGCAACAACATCGTCGAGAACGCGTAGACAATTGACTGCGCCAGTGCCAGCGTTCAAGTGAAAGGTCACAACGTAATCACTCGTTGTCTCAGCTAGTATGCATGAAATAATTTTTAATACTCGAAAATACACAAATCGTCGTGAAAACGACAAAAACATTATGACAATACGACCAATATGTTAACGGAGTATTTAAAGCGGAATCAACAGAAACATCGACGACCGGATTTGAAGCAGCCACCGATTAGTACATAATTTTAAGCACCGTATGAGTGTGACGAATGTGTACGCGGATCGTACGCGGCATGTAATCAAGCGATCGAAGATCGGCGTCGTTTTGAAAACGATCACCGAAACATATACCGATCTCTTGGTCATTTGCCGGCGTTAGATTTTAAGTCGATAGTTGTTTCATCTCTTTGAAGCGGGTTTTCCATACCGATTCAATCAGCTTAATAATTAAACGTTAACAATATGAGTGTAAAAGCTGGAGATTAAGATCCGTTGTTGGGTGCCACATTTGGGATAGCGATGGGCATTCGCTGGATACACAGCGAAACTCATCGTCGTTTAAAAATGCTTGGAAGCCTGAAGACGTGCCATAATTAATAAATAACAAAGTCGTTTACTCAGCTATACGAAAAACCCGTCGTTTTGAAGTGGAGGTTTTCTCCTGAATGGTGCGAAATCTCCATTTCAGGACGATGGGCTTGCGCTAATTAAATGAATTGATCGAACGCGGAATATTGGGTCTCGAGCCACCCTTGACGTTCCGCGATACAGGCTCGATTGAACTCGTAGCTTATTCACTAAGCTCTCAACTTAAAGATTATAAAACAAATTGTATAGGACTTTTCAGACTTACGATTATCTCTTAAGAACTCTTTCCTCCACCACCAACCCACATGTAATTTTTAAGATTCGCGAGATTGTTTATATATATAGTAAGTATATATAAACTTGTGTATAGTATGAAAAATATGATATACGCGACGTCGTCGTAATCGGTATAAAAGTGTTGAAGTAACGCCGCATGGATAATAATAATTATAAAAAAAAATAATTGATAATAATTATGATACGCAGCGTTACGGACGTTCATAAAGTTAGTAGCGAAAGAAATTACCGAGCGGGACAGACAAAGACGTCGCGCATACCCGACCATTCGAACGGAAATAAGAAAAACTTATTGAACAAAACTGTATATGATAAAATTGACGTGACGATAGACTGACTGACAGCCCCAACTATCCCTGCACACAAATTACACAACACACACACATACATGCATGTGTATATGCGTGATCTTTAAGCGTGTACTTGGCACGCATGTATACGTATGCAATTAATATGTACATACATTTGAAGGATTCTCAAAAAATTTTTTAACGTATATGTATACATATATAATACACACACTCACACACGTATATATGTATTCATATATGCATATACATATATGTATAAATATATAAATTACAAATATAAATATATGAAACGCGTCATTGATCACGTTGCGCGAACGGACAATGACGGCAATGTAAATCGTTGATTGTATACATTGAATAAAAAAACACATGATAGACAAAAATCACTCGAAATACACAATATTATACACACAAATACACTATAAACAAAAGTAATTGAACATAATAATGATGAAAAATAAAATGAAAATAACATTGATAAAATGCGCGCAAAAATGTGCTCGTTAAAGCACAAAAACTATTAGCTCGTAAGCGAACAAACAAAATATAATTATTACAAACAAGTTATATTATATATATTATATATACATGCAAAATATGACGAGAAATGAAAAATTAAGAGACTCTAAAAGTTTCATTCGCGAAAGGATGACACAAAGAGTTGAAGAGATGAAAAAATCTAAATGCTAAATATTATATATATTATATATAAATATTATAAATAATGAATATAGGGTCTATGAGACTAGCGTAGTTAGGCGAAAAAGATAAAGTGAGTGAGATTATAAGTATGAGGATTTGTATAAATGCGTAAAACAAAAAATAATTGTGTGAATGCGTGAGAGTTTTAAGAAAAATAAAAATTATAAATAAATATAAATTATAAATATCGCGAGCGTGAATGCGAAAAAATGTTATACAAATGGATTAACGCGAAAATAAATAAATTTTTCCTTGACGGGCGTGATTGAGCGTAATCTGAGGTCCTGTGATCGTTACTAAGCGAAATATTTTTTTATTTCCGATAAGTAAACGCGTAATAAAATTTTGCGTCGTTTCGAACTTTTTACTTGCAATATATACCGTTACGTTCTCGCAATACTATTAGGGAAAAGACAGAGATAAAGTTTAACTAAAATTTCGATATTGGTCATAAATATATATAAAAGAAAAGACAAATCGACACAAATGTGATGATCAATTATATGAGCAAAAATAAAAACACAAGGCTTATTAAAAAAAGAAATAAATGAAAAATAGGGTTTAAACGATGGCACAAAAAAGCAAAGGCAAGTCCGTTATAGGTTCTAACGAAGATAAAAATTCAAAAAAGGGATGCAAATTTTCTCGGCAAAAGTCATCTCGTCGGAAAATTCGTAGACTCTTTCAGCAATCGTGGTCGTTCGCGCTTTCGATGGGGATACCTTTCGACAAGTTCAGACTATAGACGGCGAAAAAATAATACAAGATCAAATAAAAAAATAATTGTCGAAAAATGATGAAGAATGTCGTTGACTAGAAAACGTGTTGAACTTGGTGACGTTGAATGCAAAAATTTGATCTCAAACGTGCGATAATATTTTATAAGCATGTCCTAGACGACAAAAGTAAACGGATATATAAATTTAGTGATTTAATGGATAATCAAAAGAGTATATTTATTAAGACGTTTTGGACGATGAGTAATCTTTAGGTGCGCATTATTCGATAAAGTATTGGTACTCGATGATGAAAAGATGGTGAAAAAAATAAACGTGCAAATTCGACCGGTTTCGGGTCAGACAAACATTTTTCAATAGTGAAGATACGCGTAATTTAATAGCCACGTCACCCAGGGCCTTTCAACTATTGGGACGAAAAAACAAAAAGAGAAATTTTCAAACGATCGCTAAAAAAAAGGATTAATCGTGATAGCTTTCGAATATCGGCACAGCCTGTCATCACGAGACTTTTTTGATTATTTCGGAATTCAGCTTTTCGAACTGTTCGACCCGTGAAAATTCAACTTTTTGACTCCATAACAAAAAGTACGTTCCGAACGCAAAATCTAATAATGCCAAAATTCTCATTTCGGACTGAATGTTTTCTTGTCTAATCAAGCGAGTCTCGTATGATGCTCGCGCGACGATCATTGGTCGATTTAAATAAATCGGTTTTATAACGAAGTGATTTTTTATTCATTGCAGGAGCAATGATTGAAACAATTTAAAAGTATTTCTCTAAATCCCCAAAGCAAAAAAAAGCTAATTTCTTTTGTTACAGAGACTTTTTTCCTCGGATTAAGTAGTATGTAAATACACTTCTTGATATTCACGCAAGCATGCAGAATTACAATAACTTAAACGAGTACATAATGCAATAGGGTTAGTTTTTCTATGTAAATACCTAAAGCGCGGCGTAATGAGTGCTTACCCTCGGCCGCGTAACCAAACACAATATATCAATATACTTTTATCGACCAGAGCTTCTGTTTTGTGCGTCGATTCGCGCGGGCAAGTAACTGAATTGAAAATAAAAGAAAACAAGTGGTTCAACTAGACAAAAATGTGCACACCTTAAGATATATAATGCAAATATAAGCTAATAGGTATCGAAAATAAATGCGATCGCGCCACCACGACGTCATTCTCGCCAATTGCCTCGTCGCTGCACATACGTTTCGCTGCTTTTTTCCATAATCTAGATGTAATAAATATGGATGATCCACTCCTCTCTCGGTGACAACTGACTTTTAAACAAATCCAATAATGACAGCATACAACAGACTCTAATATTTAATAATAATAATGATAATAAGGATAAGATATAGCTTATAAAGATAAATTGTACAGATAGCCATGATGATGATGACGACCGGACGACGAGGCTTGGCGAATTGATCTCGTGCTCGGGTAGCGCGTTCGTATGCGAGTTATTGAACGCGTCTTCGACAAAGGCTAAGGATAATATAATGCGGCTTCGATCAGGAAATACCTTGTTTTTCGTTGAACAACGACGGCAATAAATGATGATGCACGGTTTACACACCACTCACACGCCACTCACACAGCGACACTCGTTCACCTTGTTTTCCTTAAAAGCAAAATTGTACCATAATCAAGTATACACATCACATTGCACCTTGTAACGGCACCACAATTGGCCGCCTCCACACGTCATTGGTAGGGACCAACCTCTAACCTAATAATTATTAAACTTAATACATGAGCGGTTGTTATATTTCCCTTTTTCGATGAATTTTTTCTACACCTTAGAATCTTCTGATCGTGATAATGGAAATGAGTAACGTTCCCTTAAATCCAAGTGTTTGATACTAATGATACGACTTTTTGGGTCATGCATTGTCGATGCTTTTCGCGCTTTACTTTCCATTTACTCGACAACTAAAAAAGGTGCTCGTGTAAGTACGGGATCCCTTGAGATTTTCGCTATGTACACAAATATCTTGTACGAGAATTTTTACAAAAAAACAATTAACAAGCTTCTCTGCTTCTAGACAAAAATATAGATATTTCAAGTCAACGACGAAAATTTATAAGAAAATTTTTGCTTCCCCGGTCCCTTAAAGAAATTGAATCGTTGGAATTAAACAAAAACATTAATTACGAATGGTGCATCCACACACGCGTTTTCCAACGCATAGGCCGGATTCCTTCATCAATCGGGTCAACCTGACAAACAACAAAATATTCCTGATACACTGATAAAAAATTTTACACTCAAACAACAAACGAATTCGCCCGTAAAATGCGAGCCGTGCCCCCGCGAACGTGTACAATGAATAATTAAAAAATTCTCTTTTTTAAAACTTTTACTATGGAAAGGTATAAAACAAGTAAGGAAGCCACAACAATTTTTAACGAATAGCTCGTAGTGTATGTTCTGTAATCGATTGAACCGTGAACGTGTAACGTGTAACAAGTAACGTAACGAAGTAAATAAATAAACTTAAAGGAAAAAAAAGGATAATGCGCATCGAGGTGTCGCTAAGATGAAGAGCCGGCGATTGTCGACGCGAGGCCGTAAGAGCGCGCGGCGGTCAGCGTCGGTACATATTTACCCAGAAAACAAGTTCGTCGCGTCTTTATTCAACAGCGGCACGTCGATGTGCATTTCTAAAAAAAACCAAAAAAAATTTACAAATATATTGATTTACATATGCCCGTAATTCGTAAGTGGGCCAGTGGCGCAGACCAGAAGAAACCAGACGCAACAAGATGAAAACGATGAAGCTTCGGAGCGCCCCTGTCATCGATCGCGCGCGTAGTCAAGTAGTCAACGGCGTGTTTAGTCGGACGCGAGACAACCACCGTTAGCAATTAGGAAAGCGTAATAAACGAGTGATGAACAGTTCAAGCAACTAAACCGCAGAAAAAAATTATCCTAGATAACAGCTGAGATCTCGGGGATAATTGACTCGTGGCAGCGAGCCGGAGCCAAACGTTTCAACTATGAAAATGACGAATCGGTTGTCTCAAATCTGCCAAGCTGGCCCTGCCCAGTAATCTTAATCTAATTCATGTAAATTTGCCTAAATGTTTAAATAATCTAAAAAATGCCATAGCCCGGATGCGCTGGTGCATACTCCCAGCGCATACACATTCACAAGTACGACTCGAACTTTAATTAAATAAAAAAAAAATAAAAATGAAATGTCGCTCGCTCTCCGCTGCAGAACTCGTCAACCTCAAAGCGAGGCGGGGAGCGCTGAGGCATTTTGTTTGGGGCCAGGCGACGAAATTGGTGATCGTCGACCCAGCCCAGCAAACGTAAATAATATAATATTTATGAACAACGATACATGACCATAAAATAATGCCACTCCATGAAACACACAGTATGACGGTCGGACGCGGCATTTGCCCATGCCGACGTTACGACCGACCGGATTTTAAAATAGTTAAAAAAAATAAAACTGGAAAAAAATAAAGCAAGCCCTGGATTTTTGGATAAACCAAAAGCGTGTGCAACCCCGCACGCTTCTCATTCACAACTGCATACACGGGAGTTCGACTCTCACAACACATTACACTTTACAAATACACTGCTTTACACACTTTGATTACACTTGGTGGATTAAAAAGCTAAAAATCTCTACGGATATGTAAAGCCAATTGATTTTGTAAATTTGCATAAAAGTTAATTATCTAGATAATAAATGTTTGGCGAGTAATTAAGCTTATTGAGAACAAAAAT